TTTTATGGAAACTTTCACTGTGAGTGGATGAGCTCGCTGGCTCTGGAGGACTCTCCTCCATGGCCGTCCGTATCCACAATTACGTCCCCCCGGACTCCTCAGGCTTATTCGTCTGCTCCTGCGTCCGTCTCATCCGAATCCTTTCGGATTTGGGTCGTGATGTACGTCGACGTCGCGGCGCAACGACATTTCTTCGCTTTGGTGCCACCTGCTGCTGCGGCCGCCGTTCAAAGGGAGGCCAGCAGACAGGCATCGAAGTGAGCAGATACGCTCAGAGGAGACTCTCAGCCGGCGATGGACGCGTCGGAAAGAAATGAAAGAGAAAAAAAAACGGAGAGGGAGCGGAAAAGCATTGAGTATGGTCACCTCACCATTCCACCCTGGTAACTGATGGTGGCTTTCATCTCTCAACAATTGTCGTAACGTCGTTTTCCACTTCTAGCCGAGTGATCTTTTGTGCTCGACCAGCTCCGCTGAAGAGGGAGGCTCGATCGGACAGACGGAAATACGTCACATCTCTCGACAGATGCGAGACGAACCTCGAGCAGATGGGTTCGAGTGAATGGCGACTGAGGGAGGAAGTGAATCCTAGCGAGGAGGGACACATTAAGGGAGACAAGATCCTACGGAGGTGGAGACCGAAAGATCATGGGAATCAGACAGCGGTAGAGGAATCATAGATCATAGAAAATACAGACACAGAAAGAGTACATAGAAGAAGAGGGAAAGAGAAATAAATAGGGGGAGGGGGAGGGGATAAACGACCGGAGAAGCGAGCCGAAGACGGGCGGAGCAGGAATATGAATAGCTTCAGGGCTTGGTAGGTTCGGAGACAGGGAATCTTGATAAAGTATAGTGCGGAAAACGGGAGAATACGCGCACGATCGCAAGCCGGAGACCGAGAACCGAAAAGCTCGGGGAAGTTGAGTGCGAAAGCTGCAGCGTACCTGCCACCGAATGGAAAAAGATCGGGCAAGGTCTCAAGGCGATGACAGGAGGACCGCGCGACGACCGCGCTCTGGTTGAATAAGACTTCGTTTCCCTCCGACAACCGGGATACAGGACCGAACGAAGTCCGAGGAGATCAAGCGCCGGGCTCCTTCCGTAATGGAAAAATCAGAGAAACGAAGCACCAGATCATCAGATTTCGAGTCACCGGCTGCACCGGGACTCATGTCTGCTCGTTCCGATTCCATCCTCGTGATTTTCTTGCAGGACAGAAAAGGACGGCCAGTCCGCCTGTCGTCCTACCCCCCCCCCTCCCGCCTCTCCGCCGTTCTCGGATCCTGATTCACTTTCGCCCGATTCGCAGCTCCCCTAAGCATCGTTCTCCCCCCTCCGGGATCGAGGAGACGAACAGACGCCGACCGGGAAATAGAGAGACAAAAAGACGACACGCACGAAATTGGAACAGACTCGACAACCGGAAACTCCGCGTTAGAGCCGACGCGCGGACCTCCGCACAAGGGAATCTTGGCACGACTTCGGAACAAGCGGGGGAACGAATTAGAGTTGGGGGAAAAACTGTTCTCGAGAAGACGCTCAAGAGTTAGCCTCTATATCTTTTTTTCAGAAAATCTAAACATGGCGAGATCTGAGAAAGTTTTCTCCCTCACGGCCAGGGCCAACACCGTAACACCTTCCTCTCTGGTTCTTCTATTCCAGTTCTTCTTGCAGGCGCTCTCCCGCAACCGCTCTGTTCCACCTGTTCTCCTGCGACGAGTTCTTCTCTCTCACCGGGTGCTCGTTCGAGGGTTGCTTTCTCCTCGTCTGCTCTATACACCACGCTTACTCCTCTGCCTGCCTCTTCTCCGCCTGATTTTTCTTCTTCTCCTCCTGTTGCCCTCGGTCCGAGTTCTCCTACTTCGCATTATTACACACTCGGCGAAGAAGGAATTACCCCGCGTATCTTAAATCTCTCCCCCATTGCTTCTCCTGGCCGCTCCCATTCCCACTCGTATCGCAGCCGTTCCCGCGTGAACTTTTCCTATCTCCTCGATCTTCATGAAAGGAGCCAAACGAGAACCAGATACCGACGGGAAGCAACAATTGTTCCGACAAATAGACAGGCTCTGCTCTCGCTTGCTCTCTCGTTCTCTCGCTCCTTTCCACGCCCGACATTCCTGCTGGCTCGCTCGGACGTCTCCCCAGTGAACGGGACCACGCGCAACCTCATCCGCTACCTGGAAAAACCCCAACCGCGCACGCAGCGAGCATGCTGGCCAGCCTGCCGGCAATCCATGAATTTTACAATCCACGAAGCGTTGCGCATGAACTCTGTTCCCCCACACAGTGCCTTTGAGGGAGGAATTGCTTCCTCTGGCGTGATTCAGCGCTCGCAGATCTGCCCCGTTCTCACCTCCGATAGAGGAACTTCTTTGTAGGTATACACCGGGTCTGTCGTGTTTCCATCTTCTGAAAGTTCTTCGTTAGCTAGCATTCCGCTGCATAATCCAGGACTGCGTCTTCGACAGCTCAAAATCAGTCAGAGAGATGATGAGTCGACCCGAGCAAGCACATAGATCAATTGGTCATCGAGATGTGTGCTCGAAAATCAGGTATTCAATCAGAATCTCCTCGCACCTCTGACCCGACTCTACCGTTGGGTGCGAATCCCCAATCGTTTGTGGTTGCGATTGGGGAAGCGGCAGCGTCGGTGAGAGCGCTCGTCGTGATGAGATTGTCGAAGCCGGGGCACATAATCCTCGCGGCATAGATTACACGGAAGTCGATTCCCATTCATACCGCCTGCCGGCCATGGGAGCCCGCGACCCAGACCGAGACGACGGCGGCGATTACAACAAAAACCAGCACTCGAGACTCCGCGCGGTTTCCCCCGGGTCGCCGCCTCCGCACAGATATCCCAAATGTGAAAACGTTCGGGGTTCGTCAACGCGGCGGATTGTTCGAAGGTGACAGTCTGAGGTCAGGGACGCGTTGCACGTGACCTTCCGACTCCAGTTATTGGGAGTGAGAAATGACCATTACGTCGCCATCTACAGGGCAATAACGCACCCGTTCCATACTGAATCATGACCATGTGGTCTGCAATGTCTACAAAAACGTCGTCCATGCGTGGGAGCGATTATGTATGAGGTTTTTTTCAATCCAAACTCATTTTCGAATGCACGACTGCAAAGTCTCCGTACGCGGAAGAAGTCAAAGCATGAAGCGCCGGCGCGCGAAGAGGGAGGGCTAGGGGCTCGGCAACAGTGAAAGCAGTCGCATTTGTTCCCGAACAAGCGCAGGATGCGAATGAGGGGAGCGGTGTTCGCATGTACCGGTACAGCTGCTTCAGCAACAGAAAAAAACACGGAAGCAGCGGTGCATGCAACGAAGATAGTCGCGATCAAGTTTCTTGCTTTAAGATAGCAGCAGCAGCAGCAGCCGCGAACGTAAGCCAGCCGGCACGGCGTTGTTAGGCTGAACGTTCCACCGGTTGTAATTTGGACGAAAGGCAGTGTGTATGAGGTCTTCAGCGTAGCCTCGGTCCGAATGCGGCTCGAGCACTTGGCTGAGGCGTTGGTCACTCGGTCGGCCTGCGAAACGGCTACCGTTTCACTCACTCGACCTGAGTACCGCCAAGAATGATGCTTCTTGCAGAGCGCTCCCAAGAGCTGGAACTCCGTCACGATTTCCATCATAGTGAATGGAACGAGCGGGCCTTCGAGATCTCAGTAGCGCCTTCAGCAATTGTTCGGCGTGATTGTTGAATGGCACGCGTCTGCTGGAGCCGTGAAATTTGAACTTTGACGGCGACACCCTCTCTTCGAAGTTAGAGCCTCGGCCATTGCATGATAATAAGTTAACCCATTGGAAGAAGATGAAAGTACTCACGCATGCCTAGAGAGCGCTCCCGGTCGAGTTCTCCGGCGACGAAAAACTCGCTCGCGGGCGATCGCATCAGGAATCCGACCTTATCGATAGCACACTCCTCGTCCGATGGGAGATAAGTGGGCTAATCGTGGTCATTCAATGTTGTCAAGGAAAGCGATGTCCTTTCGCGCTTTAGGCGAGGGATATGCGTCTCGAAGTCTCTCCCGAGGTCTCTCACCCGTCAGTCGACCGAGGGGCTGTACACAATTCTTTCCGATTTCCGGAAGTATGGAGAGCGGTACCGCATCTATCGATGATGGAATATGTCAGCAGGGATTCCTATAAGTGAATATATTCTGGGACGTTTTTCGCTCCAGATTGGCATCGGATGAATAGTGAGCTTAGGGTTGCCCCGCGACGTGGTCTGAACGTCAGCTCTCCCGACCCATTGATCCTGGTTCTCGATCTTGAACCAGTCGTCCTGTCTGACCGCCATCTGACAAAGCGACAGCCATCTGGGAATTTCCAAGAATTTCAAAAAGCCATCAGATTGAAGAACCGCCTCAGCATCCAGGCTTGCGTGACTGCAGACTCATGAACGACATCGCCTTGCGTCCTGCAGCCAAGTTCGGTGTTCGGAAATTCAATGGGGAGATGGGTTTGGAATATATCTCCTCTGCAGAGCTCCAGATGCATGGAAATCGTCGCAAGTATTGGATAGTTAAGAAACTCGATCGATGATATTTGTTCGGGGATCCGGAATGTTCACCAAATCGCATAACCCCAAATTCTGCGCTGCGGAAGGAAGAACGGAGCAGAAGAAGAAAACCGTGTGTCGAATGAAGCAAAATGAGACGAGTGTTCTGCTTGACAGCTGATGCCACTGATAGCGATTTGAATTTGGCGCGCTACCGCGACTGTTGGTGGTGGCGCGGCACCGCGCCGGCACAGATAGAACGTTGTGTTCGATTTCGGGAGCCGTGAAAACCATGTCCTGAACAAGAGAGACTGGGAGAATACTGAATCACTGTCAACCTGAACGAAAGCTGCCCAACTCGTTCCCTGGATAGGCAGCTTGACATCAGCTGAGATCGGATGAGTCACGAGTTGGGCCGCGTGGGGACGCCAGCCGAGGGTAGCGCAGCTCGCTGAGCGCCCTTCACATCTCTAGCATTTGCTCTTACCGGATAGTCGCTGAATCCAGCGCGGCGCTTTGACAGGAGACAGAACTTGAGGAACAGCGAGCACTGCACAAAAGCCACGAACAGTAAACCGAGCGTAAACCACCATTCTGTTATGAACGATGAGAAAGTCTCGCCGAAAAAGTACACCGGCACAAACAAGACGACCGAACATCCGTACGCGAAGCTCTTGAGGGCGATTCTCCCAGCGTCACACAGCTGCATTGTCTCTCCACCACCGGCAAGATTTGCACGTTGTGACGACATGGCTGCCTCGTGCGGCTGCTGGTGGTGGTAAGATGGTAGTGATGATGGTCACTGGCCGTCTACTGACTGGGCTGATCTACTGATCGAACGTTGTCTCTTGGCCGAAATAGCAACTACGCGATCATCGTTTACAGCAGGCTCCACTCCCGTGGCAGAGGGGCCTGTGGAAAGCGGTCCGGGAGAGGGAGCCGGACCGATGACGAGGAGGAGGGACCACAGCCTTCGATGCCGCTGGGGAGGTCGCATCGGATGGCGGGAGATTCGAAAGGAAAGCTCGATCATCGGCATGCAGCAGCAGCGGTGGGGGCTATACGATTTCTTCGTATTTGCGAGATTGAGCTTTCCATTGCTCGATGTCAAATGACGAGTCGCGGAAGATCCCAGCTCATTGGGACGGAATTCTCCCCGAGTCTTGGCGTTCGCTTGGACCTGATCGGTTCTATTTCGAATAGACAAATTTCCCCCGCCTGCTGAATAAGTCTCTCATGATCAGCAATCATGCCAGCCCAGGGTCGGTGCTCAGATTATTATCGATTCCAGAGGTAGCGGGGACCCAGTCTGCCGTGCCGCACGGGGATTTTTAATGAATGCGTCGAAAAAAAATGAATAGTCATGAGAATGTTGGCGTTCATTATGGCAGTCCTGGGGTGGTTTCCAACGAGAGCCTCGACGACATTTCGGGCGAGATGTAGAGACGGGTTGGGAGCGAGGAACGGCCCGCGAGGGACGGTCGGATCCCCGATCTCCCCCATGATATGAGCATACGCTGGTAAAAACCTACCGCGTATCATACAGGTAGTCAGATTAGAAACCCCCCCGGTTTCCTTCAGAGCCGCAGGCGAAGAAGTATTCGCCGATGGGGTCACGGTTAAAAATTGCTTCTAGCAAGTTTATAAGTTTCAATATCAATCTTATTAACGCTATCGAGCTCAACGACCGGTGAGTTCGGCCGACTTGGCGCTTTTACTTAAAGCAACAGATCCCGAACGCGAGCGTTGAGTTTTTATCCAAGAATTGACTTCACACCGAAAAGCTTTGATCTCATCCGATGCGATGTCGCAAAGCCTGGGGTTTTCATTCTCCACGAGCCTTGAGCTCCAAGCCCTCGCCGAGTCCATGGGATCGGTCCGGATGACGCTCTTCTAGGCAGATCCGGTATTCGCGATAGGACTGGAACACCGACTCGTGTTCGCTGCCAATCGGCGGTACCAAACCCCAGGGGCCGCCAGTTAGCTAAGCGGTACGCGCTCCGTGACTCACTCTATCGGTGCTTCGGTCCTTCGAGAAGTCAGTGACCGCGGATCGAGTGGCAGCTGGCGCGAGACGACGAAAGGACCGAATATGAGTGGATAACCCTCCTTGCATCTACGGATGATCAGGCAAAAGGAAAACAGCCGGCGCCCGTCGATGGAAGCTCTTGTTTTCCCCTTGTTTCCCCTCTCCGAATGCTTGTTGTATCGGCATTCCTGATCCGTCTGCCGATCGAAGTTCCTCTCTGGAACCTCGCTTCTCCGGTAGATAATTCCGCGCAGAGTCATTAATCATTCCGACGACTGATCCTGACCTCTAAATAGCTTCGGAAAACATCCAGACTGCTTCATTACGTGTTCGCTCCGTTTGTTGCTCCGTAGCCCTCTCTAGTGGATACCGCTGTTCCCCCGACGCGCACGCTCCCCTTGATGAAGGCATGCCTGCCGAGCGAATTTTCGCAATAGCGCGGCTATACCGAAGTCCGTATCGTTCCCGCTCCCTCTCACAGAGGTTTTCGGGCTGGGACACGATGTATTTCCGGAGCCATATGAGGGTTCAAAACAGTCCGCTGCATGGATGTGCCGCTCCTGATCGCTGGTGGTTCATCGCAGAATCCAGATTGAAGTTCAAAAGCAGGTATTCTGCCCCCATGAATATATCCGTTGGAGGCTCCAGCTGCCTCATTTCAGAAATCGAGCTCGAGCGCGACGATTCGACAGTCCTCCTGGTCGCTCCTTCGGGATGATTCATCCGCAGACAAGGCTCGGAGCTTAACGATTCGGCGATGGACTTGGTGCCCGGCTGAGTTGTCCTCGAATGCTTCAAATGAGCAACTTCCTGAGCAAAGTATGCTGAGCAACCCGAGCGGGCAGCCAACAGCTTGTGGTGGGAGCCATTCGCCCAGGGATATTATTTTTCCTTCTCGATGAGAAGTGTGCGAGGCGAGATCCACCGCATGAACACGTTGTTCGTTCCCTTGCTCCGATTCTCACGGAGCTGAACGATCAGGTCGACAAGCGAAATCCAAATTGCCGAAAGCCGGACGTCGACATGATGAACACTCGGATTCGACTCTTGTGGAACGTTTTCCTTAATCGATCTATCTAGGTATCCATGGTCTCTATCGAAATGAAATGATCACGGGGGCCGCCGAGCTGCCCCCGTGCGTTTGCTCCGTCATTCGATTGGTTTCAACTGTTATGAATCTGTTGGATCACGGTAGATTTCGAACGAGGGACCCAGAGTTCGACAACGATCCGGGAACTTCCCCTTGTTCAGCGAATGTATTCGAGCTATTTCATTCTCGTCCGATGAAATCATCCTGATCGTCCCAAGGGCGCCGGCGACGGACTGCTCTCCGGACGGACAGCCCGGCAAGCGATCGGTGGAACTACTTCCGAAGTGGGATTCGTCCGTGCACGGCATATCACCGCGGAACAATTCGTTTTCCAGCTGGCCGAAAATGTACGCGGAACTTCCCCCAACGCTTCAAATCGAGCTTCCGCATATTTAATACAATCGAACACAGACTCGAGCCGATGGCGATGATGAGCTCCAAGACAATCGAACCTCGCTCTCGGCGCTTCACCGAATTTCGTTCTCCCTACGCGAAGCTCGGGTCGTGATGAGTTCCGCTCGGATTCCCCGCACATGTTTGGGGTCCGGTTCTTTCCTTGCTTGTGCTCTGGTATTTTTTCCAAACTTCGCTCTACGAGCTGCGAGCATCGTCGGAGGAACTCAAACTTCCAGGCTTAACCTGATTTCCGAAACCTCCGACTTCAGCATGGGATGGGCTCACTCGAACAGCACGCTCGACGGTGCCCGAAACGGCGGCGATGGGCGAGCGAATTCGTCGTGCACCGAGAGCTGGCTCAATGAAGAAACTACTAATGATCGTTCCTATTCACGCCGGTTCGGCCGGCATTGAAAATGAAATTGAGGTGCGCGGGAGGCAACTCCAATGGGAGAAAAAGAGTCTTTCGCAGCCGCGGGAAGAATAACGCCCCGGGATTCCTATCGAGAGGCTTGTTAAATGCTTTGTGATGCGAACGGCCTAATTAAGTAATGACGCTGATGAAATATTTGGGGTGAGCGCTCCCAATCGGGGAGCGTGGTAGTAGTTGATGGAGGGCACGCGCCGGCGGGATGAGCATTGTCTCGGACGTCCGAAAATTTCCCCATACCTGTCGAGCAGTAGAGAAAACTTCTTCTCTCTCTCACTCTCTCTCTCTTCCTGTCTGTGAAGACGATTTATTCATCAAATACGTACACACATACGAGAACAACATTTACGACGGGATTGGTGGACGCCGACCGCGTACGGTCCCGTTCGTCTCCCGTCGCCGGGTCCGTCTCTCTTATTTGGTTTACTCCCTCGATTTCTACGACGTCGGTCGCTGCCGTTGTTGATAATGAAGCTCGTCTCGCTGTCGGTTTGTCCCCTGTATTCGCAATCAGCTCCTCCGAGCAGCTGGCCAGGAGTTAGAGAAAACCGAGCTGGCGACTGTATCTAATGGAGAAGATTCACGCGCCGTCAAACACGCTACGAGCACGACTGGATGGCTGGTCCAGTTGGGTCCGGTTGCCTAGGTCGGGCCGAGTTTGCTGCGTGCTCGCTCGCTTCCTCTCTCTCTCGCTCGCACCCGTCGTTGCCCAAACCTCCTTCTCGTGCTCCTTGCTTACTTGCTTGCTGGCTTGCTTACTCGATGTTCGGATGGCTGACGGAAGATGGACGCGCAGACGCAAGGGTAAAAGGGCGAGAAGCAGGAAGACGTGCGGGAATTGCCTTGACAGATTGGTCTCGACTAATACACGTGGTCAACGGCATCATCATTGACCAAGAGGAAGTGGTCCCATGATCCCAGCCGTTGACGACAAGCTCCTCTGCGTAGTCCAACTACTGCGCACTCTCGCCGCCGCCGTAGCTATTCCTCTCTCATCCCTCGCTCATTCCCCTCCACATGCTCGGCTAGGCCCTCGGGTAGGGTCTTGCTCGGGATCCTGACATGCCCCGATTGGTCCTATCGAGTTCTACTGGGCCCTGACATGCCCGCCGGCCCGCGCGATTGGTGGACCTCGTCGAGTGGAGTCTAATAATGTTCACTTAGCAAGACTGAACCTTTCTCGGCCTTGCTTCGCACTGACGGCCTGTTTGATCAATTATTGAGAAGGGACAAGCGGATGTGTATATCGGTGACGGATATTCCGTACGGAAGCGAATCTCGATATCGTGACGGTGAGAAATTCGATTCCGAATTTCTTTCTTCGATCGCGCGGCCTCGCCGAGTGGGATTCAATTCTCCTTCGGATTTCGAGCCGTGATCCGGAGCGTATCATTCATGGATTTTTTCATTATTCCGTTGCTGGGAGCGACAGTGTCGAGGTGCCGCAGAGTTCAAGAGCTAAAGCCAGTGGCAGCGCCAGCGGGACGCTTAGCGTCCCGACTTCCTAGATCACCTTTCCCCCGGGGTCGATGATTTTCTCGCGGATGCCCAGAAACATCATAGTCTTCGTCTTCGCGCATATCCTGCGAGCGACCCCACAAGAGAATCAAGTCATATCTCCGCTCAACTATGAGCGACGAGAGGAAGTCCGCTCTTGTGCTCTTGTCGATCGAGAAAGAGCTCACAGAAAGTCTGCGGGGGGGATTGACTCTTGTTGTCGACAGATTCGCTCGGAAGGGTGACAGGAGGTCGTCCTCCTCATTCTAGTGCCATGTTTCATGCCCCAAGAGCCAGTCAGGAAGGTCG